TCGCGGCGGTTTTGCTGCAGCGTCATCGAGATCAAAGAATCCCTGTCCGCCGGGACCGGGCCCTTTTTCCCTGCCAGCGGGCTCACGCCCGGGCCCAGTCTTCTTATTTAGATCTGGATTAACGATCAACACCGGTGCTTTCTTCGGCTCGTCCGTCCCGGCTCGGCGGCCGGGGGAAAAACTTGTGAATGAAAGTCTCGCCGCAGAAGTCCGCCGCTTGTCCAACTATCCCGCCGGCGAGCGGTCGCTTCTTTCCCGGCGCACCTGTTCGACGATCTTGTTACCATCGATTTACGTAACCTCTCCGTAACGGGACCATTGACTGGGTCGGCCCTAAAATCGTTAAAAAATATGTCATGAGAAATAACCCCTCGATAGGAAGTCCCGCTCTTAGCCGTCCTCTCGTATTCGGTATTCCTCTGCACATACCTGTACAATAAATCTTAATAAAATTTTTATCAATGAGACATTACCGGGTCTTATCGCTCAGAAGACCTGGGATGTGAGAAAAGCGTCGTTCATAAAAATCGAAAAAAATGCCCAGGTAAGAAAACTCCCAAGAGATTGAAAAAAGAATATGAAAAAAGTATCGTTAAAAAATTATCCCGCGGAGAAGATGAACATGGGTATTTACCGATGCAAATCGCTCGCAAATTTGTTGTCAGTCAAGTTTGATAACGCCCTGTTTGGAGAAATGGGAAAGAAAAACGAATGTGTGGAATACCTGTCAGGAAAGCATTGTTACAAAAATTCTCGGGTAATAACTCTCGCCCAGGGAAGACGAATCTGACTTTCTCGGGGGCTATTTGCCGGCGTAATGCGATCGCACGTGGAATCGCGCGATATCGAGAGCACGGCGGAGCAGGATGCTCCATACACTACGAAGTCATGCGCGTACGTACGTATTTCATGCAGGTATATACACATCGCGTACGTACGGCGTGTACGTAGGATCGCGCGGCGAAGGAGAAGGCGGAGGGCGGAAAGGAAGAGGAAAAGGAAAGGCGCGGCCGGTAAGAAGACTCGGGTCCGCCGGACCGAAAGAAGAGGAGAGGAGGGAAGAACAGAGGGAGCGAGAGAGGAGTACCTTGGCGGTTCATATGTGAGCGTCGATTTCGCGCTCCGCTGCGCCGCGTGAGTGGCGAGCCCGCCGCTTAAAAGACCCGAGACACGTTCCTAGCGATGGAACCCCGACATCTCGCAAGCTCGATCAAACCCGGCAAGAAAGTTGAAAAGTTGGCCGAAAGCGTGGATTTTTTTTACTCACCCTAGGAGCATTTTTTAATCAAATTTTTGTCTCACGCGTGAATTTTTTACCTAGCGATGGAACCCCGACATCTCGCAAGCTCGATCAAACTCGGCAGGAAAGTTGCGAAAGTGGGCCGAAAGCGTGGATTTTTCTATCCTGGCTAAGAGCATTTTTTAATCTAATTTTTGTCTCACGCGTGAATTTTTCCCTAGCGATGGAACCCCGACATCTCGCAAGCTCGATCAAACTTGACAGAAAACTTGCGAAAGTGAGCCGAAAGCGTGGATTTTTCTACCCTCGCTAGGAACATTTTTTAAATCTAACTTTTGTCTCACGCATGAATTCTTGCCTAGCGATGGAACCGCGACATCTCGCAAGCTCGATCAAACCCGGCAAGAAAGTTGAAAAGTTGGCCGAAAGCGTGGAATTTTTTACTCACCCTAGGAGCATTTTTTAATCAAATTTTTGTCTCACGCGTGAATTTTTTACCTAGCGATGGAACCCCGACATCTCGCAACCTCAATCAAACTCGGCAGAAAACTTGCGAAAGTGGGCCAAAAGCGCAGATTTTCCTAATTCCTTTTAAAGCATCCTTTTTCCTAATTTTTGTATTTCGCGTGAATATGTTGCGTAAGTGATGAACCTCCCGCTTAAAAATCCCGAGACACGTTCTTAGTGACGGAACGAATTTAATCTTCTATTTGCTGTAAAGGTATGCAAGAGCTATTAAGCTCGTAGGAAAAAATCGTTATCAGTAGAGAGTGATGAAGATCTAGATAAAGGTATCCGAACCGAGAGCGGGGGAATTCGAGTCGCCGGCTCGGAAAGCTCGAATTCTCGCAACGATCGCAGCGCCAGGCGAGGATGAACGGCCGCGATGCCCCGGGGGTGGAGCGAGAAATGCGCCCCCATTCTCCGGGAGTGATAAGTGATAGTAACTAAGAGAAGACCGCCCCTTGTGCAACGCGCCCCAGGCGGCTGTCTCCCCAGGACGCGCCTCGATAAGTCCTGCTCACCGGCGAGGAACGGTCAATTTTTAACACCTACTTCCTACGACCTGACACGGACTTCCGTGAAAATGCGCTACAACCCATATTCATAAACAAATGCAAGGAACCTATCAAAACTGAATCGGCTAGTTCACATCTTAAAATAAACATAAAGGAGGTATTTACGTAACAACCCAGGATATACGTAGAGGAATAGACCCAAAGAAATATTTCGTCAATTCCAAGAATACTGCCAATAAATAAATTGCCATCATTCCGAATGTTGCCTGTAATTTATTCGAGTTCATCCCAGGAAATAATTATTCTTGGAATTAAAAAAATATTGCTTTGGTTCAATGAGATTTTTTCCCAGGTACAGGGGATAACCATTAGTTGATATATCGATAGCGTGATTTTTCCAAGTTAAAGTTTCTTTTGCAAGGTGAGCAAATAAATGATGATAATATCGAGGCGAAAACAAGGCCGAGGGGGGAGAAAAAGTGGGAAATAGGCAGGTCGGCGGTCGCCATTTTAAACAATTTCCCTCGGCCTAATGCGCCGCTAGAAGGTAAACATTTAGTATAGACCTAAGCGTATGCAAATTGCCGGGAGGAATGTGCAATTTAACAGTTGTTCCCCGTGTGTGGAGTAACGCTCGGCCGGTTAGGCGAATATCGATACTCCGAGGAGGGATCGGCGACTTCTTTTCTTGCAACAATTCTGGAAGATGTTGCGCCGATAATAATTCGTATCGCCGCCCGGGTAAACTGTTGCAAGACCCGGTAACTACAGTATTCCGCGGCGGGGAAAACGCAGCCGGGTCAACAATTTCCTTCGCTCCTACGTGTAAATAAATACAAAAGAAGTCGCAGAACTTCGCGCGGGACTTCGGAGCTCTCGGGGGACGCCAGAGGCGGTTCCAGTATTCCGGTGCAAAGAGATTCCAAAGGCCCTTGCAACATTTACATCTACAAGTAAACGCAAATAGTTGGCGATAGGGTACATACACATATAAACACACATATACCGGCCTCTGATGCAAAATGCAGAACACTCTATATAGATTTACAGGAAGTATCGCAATTTTCTAACTAACGATCCAAGTCTTAGAAATATCTCTTAGCCTATTCTAACTTATATCATTAATTCTTCCTCGAATAAATGATTTTTTTTTTAATTCTAATTCTTAACTTGGTATTATTTCATTATGTCACCCTTGAACTAATTTTTATTTAAATACTAATTCTTAACTGTCATTCGTTGTTAATCAATATTTTATGTTTCGTGGGTATTGAGGTAGTTTTTTAAAGCGTTTCTAGGATAGATAAAATCGTGGAGGTGAAGCGGAAGGATTTCTTGGACGATCGACGCGAAGTTTCCCCGGACGGTGGGCGGATATATTCAGGAGGGCTTGTGTGTGCCCTTCGAATATTTGCCCCGGTGGAGGGTTAACGTTTTACGTGAGCTTTTATAAGACAGTTTCACATCGCGACTGCGGCTCGAGCACCTGTTGCTTCGGCTCGCCGGGGCCGCGTCTCGAGAATCGAAGGCCCTCCTCGCCCTGTACCGGGGCATCGTAAAATTGGAATTTGATAAGCGAAGCCTCGCTCCCCGCCTATATAAGTGGATCCCGGGAAACTTCTTTTCGCGATCCGTCAAATATTTTGCAGAACCCGGGAAAGCGGCCTCCGTTTTCCGTGGATCTTGGAAAATGCAATGCCCCCTCGCGACGGTTTCGGCTCCTCCTGGAGGATTTTTATAGAGGTTTTCTTCATCGCCCCGTCCCATACTCCAGGACATTGAAATTTAAATAAACACTGAAGAAAATTAAGTATTTAAAAAAATGTATAAACGTTTCTACAAACCTGAGTCTTCGCGGTTGACAAATCCAAGGGTTTAATGGAAATACGCAATAACGGATGGACGCGTACGGAGGTTCCTTCAAACTGGCTGCTCGATTTGTTTTAATTTGTCGAGAGAAATGGCGGGGGTAAAAATGTTAGGGTTCGAGAGTAAGAGGAGAGCCGCGGCGCTCGTTCGAATCCGTCATTACCGAGTGCAGGCACAACGTAGCTATTCCAGGGAGGAAGTAAAAAATCGTGATGCCAGGCCAGCGTGGGGTCCGGACCTTGTGCACGCTTCAGGATCTCGGACACTTTCGTATTTAACCGAGAGCACGCACGGATAAATAATCATTTCGCAATTACGCCCGCGGATCAATTAAAATCAGTGTTGCCCCGAGTCCAAAGCCGCTCCCGGAGCGTCCGCCATTTTGATTTCCTTCTGCTCGATGCGTAATTTTCTCTGAGCTCTTTCAAATACTTTCGGACATTAAAAAAATTCCAAAGCTCTCTAAAATACCTAATCATAATTTTCGGCATTTCCTATAACTTCTAAGTCTCTTTTAATTTGATTTTGGTGCCACGGGTCGAATCAATAATGAAAACTTTCAAGGAGTCACGTTTGGAGAACGGGATTTTCGATTGGGTAAGCATGGCCGAGTCTGGTCAACGACAAAGGCCGGTGGCCAACAAAGGCTGCAGAGGACAGCCTCGTATCTCGAAGAAGCGTCCGTCTCTTCTCCTCTTCAAGGTCCAGCAATCTTTCTCTTCTCTGCATCTCGCGACAGGAGTCATTCGTCCTTGCCGGCGATAAAACGGGTGGATCAGTTGAGAACCCTGGATGAAATTAGAGGAATTCGGGCCCTCCGCCATTTTGAATTTCGGAAGATATCGAAGGTGCATCGTATGATTCGAGTTATCACACGGGACCCGGCGAACAACGCTCGGCCGTGGCATCCAACCTTACATCGGAGATCAGGCCTTTCACATGGTTGGACCGGATCCGACTGTGATTAATAATTACGGCAAGCACAATCGTTGATCCGATGACCCTCTGCCGATCGTTCGCCGGGGTCGACCTCCACATGGGAACGTGGAATGTGCTCGGTTGGACTCATCCTCTGCAATCGGCTGGAGATATTCCACCTCCGTTCGACGGTCACCCCTCAGCGGCATCTTTCTCGAAGATAACCAGATAAGCAGCCACGTGGTCGATGGTTGATAGATGGACCGATTTAATCGACCAGATTAATCGTCCAAGACCTACAAGTTTGAATACTTTCAGTCATTAACGTCAATAAAATTCGTACGAGGAGTTAGAATTTAGCAACAAGGACAAGGAAAGGATTTTTCGAGATTTGTCGCAATTTTTTTTGGAATTTTCGAGCGGGTTGATAGAGACTGGGGGTCTCCAGAGCGAAAGGAAAATTCGTACAAGAGGAGACTATACAAGCGGGGCATCCGCGCGACTTTCGGGCCATTATTTCACCCTCGACCCTCCACCCTTATCCTCCAACCCCGAGATTCACCTACATCCGCCTGTAGGAGGTCGCCCGAGGTTCACCCTCTGCTCGCGATGACGTCGAGATTCTCCCGTATCCTCTGCGTTCCTTTTTCTCCCTCTCGTAAATTATGTGCCCCTAAAATCTACCCTTGACACTTCACTAAATGTAATTAAAAACGAACAATTCCCCCACGTCCAGTAATAAATGTCTATGATCTTCCTTAGAAATCCTACGATCTCTAAAAAGCGCCTTGACGTTTCTAACATTAAAAAACAAGATCCCGGATATCCTCCATAATTCTTGCCAAACTTGGAGTCCAGGAATTTGATTTTACATTTTTTTTTAAATTAAAAGGAACATCCTGGACATTCTTGGAAAAATTCTGGTAAATCCTGAGCATTCTAAAGAGCCGATTTTGGGATTGCGATTTTACGGAATTTGGCCACGCTTTTCTTGCCTTTAGTCGACCTGTTGCGGCGGACGAGGGGAGATTCGCATCTATGGGGATAAAAGTATCGCTTTATGTCCATTCGCACCCTCGGGAATCCGAACTCGAGGCGTGGGTAACGTAACACCCGAGATGCGCCATACGACGTGTGTGTCCGGCGAAGAGGTACAGGAGTGTACGCACTCCGTGACTTAACGTGACTTAAAGGGGCCCAAGAAAAATGGTGGCGTGTCTGGCTCGTGACTGCCCGTGACATACACGTTCTCATTTCTGCCTACATCCTTTCCTTGCCCTTTCCAGCCTGGTAAACGCTAACTTACACGTGAGTATCCTGCGAGTACTACTCGGATCCTCCGTGACACCAGCCAGGGCCGCAGAGCGTAGTTCGATTTCACGGCAGGGTTTAACAAATGTTGCCTCACTAAAAAATATAAAACACTTATCAAGAATCTGTACAGAAGTAACGAGAGTCTCACGGTAGACCCTCGACCAGGGTATGTACACGAAAACGCAACAGAGCGCTGAAACCCAGCAGGACGGGTTCCCATCCTCATAGGATATTCTCCCGGCGCACGCAAATGCCAGAACCCGATTGTCTCGATAACCGAGAGAAGATTCTCTCTTCTAAAGACGTATGTCATTTCCCAAGAGGTCCAGGATGTCGTTCCCGTGTGCGCTTCTTCCAGAACTTCTCTGGCGTCGAAGTAACCCAAACGTCTCCGAAGAGTCGAGAGATAATCAACATCCCAAAAATCGTCCTCCGTAGATAGGCCTCAGAAATTAATTCCTCACAGGGCAGAGTTCTCCTCAGCTTCCTGGCGATTCTTGGAGAAATTATTCCACATTTTTTCCAAGGTGTAATAATGATCTAGGAATTTTTTTCCCGATGAGATTAAGCGACATCAAACGATGGCGTTACGCAGGGAGGGCGATAGAACTTCGGTGGATATTGTTTCCTTTACTATTACGTGGCTTCTGCAGGTTCTAGGTTCTTGGTTTCACCCACCTGTTGTACTCCTTCGTACGGGGAGAGCGTAGACCAATTTCATCATCATGCCATCCCCGTTGCTTTCGTCGGAGCGCCGATAAACCCGAAATACGCCAGACTTTCGGGGTGAATTATTATTTTACCATAAATCCGGGCACTCCAGGTGGTATAAACCAGGGCCGACGTGTCTCGAGGAGTCTGAAATAAATTCTCACCAAATCCCGAAATTTCTCAAAACGTGCAGACCGTGGATAAGGATCGACCCCGAAGATCGCGTGCGGGGTTGGCGGGTTCCATAAAAATCGGCCTTACGGCGGATTTATAAAATGGCTTATCCGGGACGTGCGGTACAGGCCGATCCATCTTCACCTGTAAAGTGGAGTGTTGAATGACAACCGGAAGTGAGAGGTCGCAAAAAACACGTTAATACCGTCACGCGTCGCTTATCAGTCATACCTGCGATTACCGTCTCTTCTCCGTTCCTCTCTTTCCGTTCTACACCCATCATCGCCGCATCGCTCCATCTCTTTCCCCGTTCTCGCGTCTAAATTCTCCAGCTCATTGATTACCTCTTTTTCTATACATACCTACACCTGTATACTCACGACTATGTGTACCTCTTTCTCTTTTTTTGTCCTTCTCTCCTGCTCTCACCGGGTGGATTTTCTCTCCGTCCGTCCTCCTCGCGTCTAAATTCTCTATCTCACCGGTTCTCTGCCTCTCCGTTGCTCCCGTGGACGGGCATCGCTTCTTCTCCGTTCCTCCAGCCCGCGGGTTTTTCTCAGCCCCAATCTCTCGCCCCAGTAACCACTTCCACGGATCGTGTAGTATCGTTTTCTCAAATTCCACTCGAGCGCGTCTTCCTTTAAGGTCCATTCACAGCTTCGCCAAGCCTTCCCCGGAAGAATTTCAGGGCCAGGTGACTCCCAGTAGACGGAAATTACCGACATCGCAGTTTCTCGATCCTCGCCGACCGCCATATCCACATCCACCTACATCAGATGTTTGAATCACCAGGGTGCATATATCCTAATAAAAGGAAATACCATTTTAAAATATCTGTAGTTAATTCCCTCCACTTCTTGACGATTACATTATCCTAAAAAAGAAAAGAAGAATTTTTAAATAATTATCTCAAATTAATTCAGTCCACCTCACGGCGCCATTTTAATTGTACAGGGGAGATAAGTCCTATGACGTGATCTTCGACGCAGTCGTTCGGGACAATCGGTTTCCAAGTTCCCGGGGAAAGAATCCTTATCGACAAGTGCAGTGCCACCCGAGAAGCACGAGCACCATTGTTGCATAAAACGTGGAGACACTTGGTGCACTCTCCATGTATCACGCCGAAGAGGTTAGGAGTCCGCGACCCTTCGCCTCGCCGCGATAAGTGCGATTTTTCGCCGGAACTCTTTCCTGGAATTGCAGAATCCATTAGCGATTACGAAAAAGTGCGCGATTACGCTGCAGGGGTTGCATAACGCGCTTATCGCGCGCCCTCGGTGTTAATTGTGCACGATGTTCGCCATTTTTTCCACGATACGCGGCCACGTGTCCGGTAGATGAGGTATATACTCACGTCTCATGTATGCGTCATTGTCCGCGTCGAGGGTCGATTTACCTCAAACGATCCCGAAAAACCATTTCGGATTTTTCCCCTAGGTATCCCATTATTCTCGGCAATGGCGGGAATAAAGGGAACGGTGCGCACTATGCGCCGTGTAAACGGCTACGTGAGCTTCTCGCCGCGGCCGGCAAGGAGCGCGCGGCGCGCCTGCGCGAGACGGCATAACCTAAGATCTTCATCTGTAACATCGCAAATTGAACGAAGATTTGCTGCGGCCGCGCCGCTACCGCAAGTAAATGCATGTCCGAGCGTATATCTGCGGGCCGGTTGTGCCGATGCCAACGGCTGTACGTACCGATTCGAGTTACGCGAATGCAATCGCCCAGAGTTCCCAGGTCCGCCATCTTGGATGCGCCGAAGCGTCTTGGGCCCCGATCCCGAGTTCCTGCACATAACATGCAAAATTAACATTTTCAAACGCTAACCAACGGCGCGACATTGCAACAATCCATCATTAATCTTCCTCGTCAAGCCACCCGAAATAAATATGTACTTCTATAACTTACATATATTCCAGCTTTTATTTCCGATATTTTCTCTTTCCTAGACAGACTTTTTATTCGCGTAAAACAAATCCACAAGTCTGGATTAAAAAGGTACCCTAACCTGTATATCGTATTTCGGATACATTGATCCATGGATCGCGGTGAATATGGAGTTCCTAATTCTGGTAAGCATAGGGTGTATTATACTCGTCTACGCAGAACCGTTCCCTTTTTTAATATCCTTTAATAAACTTTTCTCTCATTTCCGCGAGTTATGCGTCAGGGTGCGGAGTGAGGTTATGTGCGAGCGCGCCGGTGGTCGGTAGAGCAGATACCTGCCCGACCGACGCGCCGCGAGCGAGAAGACGTGGGAAGACAAAGGAAGAGGGGCATCGATTGGCTCGGAACGTACGGCAGTAAATACGCGGAGGAACCTGCGGCACGTCCCGCGTGTGGGATTCGCCGCGATGGAAACGCACCTTCCGATCCGGCGAGGGCGTGATTCCATTTCAATATCGGTCTCTGCGGTTGCCGTATATCGTCTTCTCCGCCTCCTGACTTACCGACGACACCGTTCCCGGCCGCGCGCGGAATTGCGCCGCGCATTCCTCAGCCGAGAAGTCGATCTCGAAGTAATCGACCGATCGAATCCGAACTGGAGAAAAATCGGCGCGTTCCTCCCTAACCTCAAAAACTAAAGTAACTTTTCGTTTCAGGGAATATCCAAGGGAAGTGATTAACGTTATCAATGAGAATCGATATAAACTACGCGAGGCGGTGGAAGAAGACAGAAATCCTCGATAAGACGACTAATTAGAGATATTAATATTTTCTCTACTTACCTCGAGGTCATTTTGATTGATCGAGCAATAAATGTTGCAGATGACGCATCTGGTGTCGAGTATGCAAGAAATTTCCCTGAGCCGGAGGAATTTATCCTGGGATTTGTTTACTACTCCAGGAAGTCGATTTATCCAGGGAGATTCGTCGCTATATTTAGGACGATCGAGGAAGAGGAATTAAATTAGAATTAATTGCGACGGATTTATGAATGATTTTAGAAGCGCGAGTGCGGCTACTCGCGCAACGAGACTCGCAAACGGCTACAGAGGCCTCGGGCATTTGCGATAATTCTGATCATTACGATGATTACGATGTTTAGCGGGTAACGAGGATGAAATACGGTAGTGTGGCCGACTGTAATAGAATAATTCTCCTGTCCCATATGGGATTAACAGCTTAGCTTTGTCGGGTCTTTAGCTCGGCAGTTTATGGCACATGAAAATATAACCGGGAAACGTTTTATTACTCCCGTTAACTTTTATTTCACGTAAGGAAAATCCTGCGCGGGCAAGAGCGATGATTTGCGAGTGCGAGAAATTGTAATTGTAACCTCAGGTGGATTACACCGCCGGCGAGCGCGTGTTTTCACGTATGTGCGACGTAAACACTGTACTCACGGTAACTCGCTTAGCTTTATGACCCCGCGTGACTATTTTTTAATTGCGGTAATGAAAGGGAATGTTTGAATCCCCGGAGTAAGTCTTAGAGAAGCACGCCACGGGGTTGAGTCGGGAAACGAGGAGAAACGAAACCCAGCAAAATTCGGTAAGGCATAATTTGGTCCGCCATTTTGAATCGGCGCGGGGTTTTAAGGGTTCGATGCTTCTCGTTTATGCTACTCGCCCTGGGTCGGTGTTTTTCAACCGGGCCCGTTTAAAATTGTCCTCGGCACCCTCGAAACGGTCTTACTAAATTCGCGAAATTGGTAAATCACGGTTAATCCCGGACTCGAGGATCCGCGGCGCACCAGGGGCGTTTAATGACTTCAAAGTTGTGAATCACAAAGAGGGTGGAGACTCGCGGGCTAAAATTAAACCTCTGACGAGTCAACGTATATCCCGAGGCGCCGGTCTAATTACATAAAGTTGCCGTATAATCGAAAGTCTCTCGTACTCGTTTCGCCGGTGCAATTCCGGGTCCTCATTAAGAGAGCCGACGAAGATGACTTTTTACCACGTGAGTTTACCGGCGTCTTAGCCATCCCCGGGACCGTTTCGAGGGGCCTCGAAAATGTTAATTTTTTTTTCACGTCGCAATACGACCCGTAGTTGAATTCTCTCGATAGAGCAATCCTCAAATATCAGGCTACTTTTCAAGAGTATCGAAAATCTGCAATGTCGGTAACCCCACGCCACAAAGTCAGCTGGAAGCGCTCCACGTCGGGCCAAATCCCGCACGCGATACAGACCGAAGTTAGCCGCGCCACAATTAAATAATCATTTTCCACGGTGAAGACACTTTTCTCCTGAATTCTCTCGATAGAGAAATCCTCAAATATCAGGCTACTTTTCAAGAGTATCGAGAATCTGCAATGTCGGTAACCCCACGCTACAAAGTCAGCTGTAAGCGCTCGACGTCGGGCCAAATCCCGCACGCGATACGGTCCGAAGTAAGCCGCGTGCTCGGTATGCCGCGCCATTTCGAAAAGGAAGGCGACAATTAGGGCACTGCACCTCGGCCCGTTTATGTCCGATCCTCGGAACGGTGGAGGTTAGGTGCGCGCATCCGTCTTCCTCGGGCGCGAAGCGCGGCCCGTGAGGGCGAGAGAGAGAGGCAAGCACCGATTGTCGTGCATACAAGTGCGCGCGAAGATAGGAAGGCATCTTCCAAACGAGCTGCATGTGGACAGCGCCCCCTCTTGGTTTATGAAGCGAAGCGAACTGGCTAAACAGTTAGTCGGATAGACGCGATGCCGGGTTATGCTGTTCCCCATGGGCCTACCACGCTCGTATGCACCTGCGGACGCGCCTAAGTGCGTGCGTTCAGGTGCGTCCCGGATTTGCATACCCGGTGTGCGCGCGGGAATTCTCCCCGACGCCATCTTGTTTTCCTCCGAGTAGTTGTCGGGCTTCCGTCAAGCTGCGCCCGGAAGTTGGCTAACTAGAGATGGGCACGGCCGATGACTTCGGACATGTATAGAAATATCGACATAAAACCTCGACTCAGAGATGGTTTCCGGCGGATGGTTTTCCAACCACTAAAACTATACAATACATATACAAAACCGATTGAAAGCAACAATACATACCGCTACATGCGCTCTGTCTAAAATATATGTGCCCATTATTATGAAAGTGGTCTAAGTCAAATTTAAAAAAAAATGAGTTTATCGGTTATTTCACGCCATATTATTTCAAACGAAATTAATTCAATGTAATTTCGAAACAAAAAATATATGACTTAGACCACTTTCATAATTATGGGCACATATAACGCTTATGAAATTCCGGTTAACCGGGGAAAAAAAAAATCACCTTAAAGGTACATCTTCAGTCGCGGGGTCACGAAAAACCTCATCGTTCTCTTAAACCCTAGATTTATTAAGTTGAACGGAAACTTCGATCGTTTGCAATTACACCGCATGTATTAGCGCATATTGTGAATTTATGAATACCTTGTAAACGCTTTTCCCCTGGAAGTCGTGTGTTAGTTTCCTAATAGAGGTTAGGAGACCAATATTTTTAGGTGCGGTCGGGTATCACTTACAGTTTACATCGAGGGTTTAAGAGAAGGACGAGGGTTTTCGTGTCCCCACGTTTTCTATCGAGTCACCAGGCTGAAGATGTGCTTTTCAGGACATTTTTCCCCGGTTCGCCGGAATTTCATAGGCGTTAAATATTTAAGCGACCATGTAGCGTTATATATTATGCAAACTGCAATTGCGGCCGAGGAAGTTCCCAGCGGCGTCTCGAGTCGGCCGGTGCGCTTCTTTTCCCCGTTGCAGATTCCCGCAAACTTTCGTAAAATAAACTACCCCGGTGCGACTCACGCCTAACGACAGGACCGATGTAAACCCGCACTCGGTAACCTCGGGTCCGCGAAGTTTAAACGTCGACGTAAATG